TTTATATGCTCGTTGGTTATGTTTTTGACTCGCGTTTTTCGGCAGGAATGATTTAACCGATTTCCATGATTTTTGGCAACCCTAATAAAAAGTGGTCGAACTTTAAGAAAATGCTAGTTATTTTCTTATAGGTATAAAAACGTTTGAGATATCGGCATAATGTTTAAAACTGCATTTTTACAAAAAAAAATGTCAATAATTTCAAAACCATTAGACAGACTTTTCTTTAACTTCGGCAAATAAGCCACAGAGCTCTCTAGTTTTATCTCTGCAAGTTTGAAGTCAATCGTGACCATAGAACTCGCTACTTAAATGGCTGGTCAAATTAAACCTTAACATGCAATGCTAACTCATTTTTGAAAGTTGACACACAAATAGAGGACAACTGCCGGCGGACTATCTCCTATCTGCAAGGGCATTCTTGCCTAAAGCTTCAGTTGCAAGAAATTGAGTACTTAGAAACCTATGGCGAATACAGTTCGCAAAACAAGAAGAACAACTTTGCGCTGAATGCGGGGCAAGATTAAACAACTCCTATTGATAATGATAATAAAGATAATGATAATAAATAAAAAATTTAAAGATCCCTGAAAGCTATAATAACTGAACAATGATATGTTATGCTATGGGAAAATCTAAAAAAAAGATGAAATTCGAAAATTCCAAACTAAATTGAAATTAAACATTAGAACTATTCCAACAAATTAAAGAAATGTTTTAAGTTCCGAGGTTGGCGAGGCCGCTACTTGTTCTTATAGTTAATGGCAGCGAGTTCTATAAAACAGGTGCAGCATGAGCAAAGGCCCGATCCCCAAGTGTAGAGCAGTTGAGTTTTGGAACGAACAGAAGAGATTGTGCAGACGAACGAAGAGTATAACTAGCAGCTGGTTTCAGGGATAAAAGATCCTTAATGTAGGATGGACTTTGATTGTGTAGTGACTTGTAAACAAAAGGGAGCAATTTGAACTGAACGTTACTGGAAGCCAATGTAAGTCGATAAGAGCGGGTGTGATATGATCAAATTTCGCAATCTGAAAAGTCACTCTAGCCGCGGCATTCTGGACTTTCTGTAAACGATAAAGCTGATATTTAGGTAGACCGAATAGAATTGTGTTACAGTAATCAAGGTGCCAAGATACAAAGGTATGGATCAGTGTCTTTGTGGATTGCACGGTAAGTAATTTTAAGTAAGTAATTTGTCTTATGTTGAATATTCCTCGAAAAGCCTTGCTACAAATCTTGCCTATGTAAAGCTTGATTCGCATATGAGCATCGAACCAGGAGCCAAGGTTCCGGACGCTTTCTAAAGATTTAATGACGGTGTCACCAATGATAATAAATTCAACAGATGTTTTTTCAGGTTGCTGACGGGTGCCAATAATTAGAAAGTCAGTTTTTGCGTCATTGATCATTAAACGATTTCCAATAAACCAAGAGCGAACATCAGCGATGCACTTTTCAATCACAGAGACAGCGTTAATTTCCGAATGGATAGAACAAGGTAGGAAGCAGGGCGGATAAATGTTGGGCGGTGAAACGAGCGCTCCGCTCTTCATTTAATGTGTGATGTGGAGTAGGACTGGCACGAGCGCTCTTTCCGCGCTTCCGGTGCGCTTGAATGCCGGCGAAATTTTCCTTTTTGCAAACCGGAAATCCTATTTTCTTTCTGTAATTTCAGGCTACAATGTTGAATAGATAAAATCGTTTCATAACAATATCAATAAAACAGTTTCATATGTTTGTGTCTGTATGCCTGTAAGTCAAACTTGTTGGTCGTATAATGCCAAAATTTGAGTTTAATTTGAAAGTGTTGAATACCTCCTCCTTCCACCAAATATCACCTAATCGTCTTTCGCCGTTTCGTTTGCAAAAGCTTAACACTTCTTAACCTCAATTTTTACATATGTTAAAGGGGGATAAATTTTATATAACATAACAAAAAATTAGATTGATATATTTTGATATAGTGGCGTTGTACTGCTTCAAACTTTGCTTCTCGGGTGCAACTCGCCATGGCGATTCGCGCAATGCGTCGCAAATCCGGCAACCGCATGTAAACAAAATTTATTGAGGTTAGTTGTAAGGTTTTTTCTCCGTTTTTCTCTCTAAAACAAAACAAGGTAAACAGTAAAAACTGAGGGGAAACTAATTTTGAAGTTTCGAAGAAACAGAAAGACGTATGAGATGTTTTTTTGAAAATTAAAAAGAAGGATGATAGTGATCAGAAATTAGCATAATTTCACCTTGCACGAGCTGCACGCGTTTATAAAATACACGTCATCTAGTTATGAAACACGATCTGCTGCCGTTTAGTTTTGCCATGGATGACATGGATGAGATTTTCCTTCGTGTTTTGTTTTGGAATAACATCGACATTGGCGAGTAGTAGAACGAAAATATAATTCAGTGGTAGAGTCATGGAAGTAATAAGAGAAACCCTTTGAAAGAGATGTTTGTCTACTCCAATTAAACCTCCCGCAAAAAATAGCAACATTTGCCTCTCAGAGACAGCGTACCAGCACAAAGAAACGAGGAAGAAGTGCAAGAAAACAAATCAAGCCGCCATAATTCAGTGACAGCGGCAGTGTCTAATGGACAAACCACATCGCAAGCCCTGACTGAAGTCGAAAACAAGCGACATTTCTAAGCAGAGTCCCAGTACACTGCATCACACCTTTTTGCTCGGATGCGCTCGTTTCACCGCCCAACCTTTATCCGCCCTGGTAGGAAGGATGTGTTTTGACGTTCTCGTTGCCGTTTGCATCGTTGGATCTTAAAGTCCCTAGCTAATGACGCTGGTTCGCGCTTGAGTACTACTATATATTGAGAAAATCTCTTACTCATAGTCGTCCTCGTCTTATGTAAATACTTCATACTTCACAAGTATGAAATCCTGCCTTGTTAAGATAGTTTTTTATTTATCAAAGTCAAAGTATTTTCCCTTCTCTTTTCGCAAAAAATCTCAACAAATCACGACATAACATCTACGGAAATCTCCTACCAGTTTTTTAAGCACTGAAGGTTCCCGTCTTGAGCAAAAATAAAGCCATCAACTCCAGTACTTTAACCGATCCATTCTCAGCTGCAACGAAAACCCTTGTATTAGGTAATTTATTCAAGTTTGAAAGATTTGCCATCACATTCGCACGGGCATTTTGCCATTGGGGATAATGAAAAGAATAACACGATTGTCATATTTTCTTCATCTTTATCCCCAAGTGGCAAACTTCCCGTGCGAATGTGATGTCAAATCTAAAACCTTGAATATATTACCAAGTACAAGGACTTTCAGTGCAGCTGAAAAATGGACGGTTAGAAGTACTGGAGTCGGTGGCTTTTATTTCTCCTCAAAACGGAAACCTGCAACGGTAAAAAACTATTGAGAGTTTTTTCGTAGATAATATAATTAGGTTTCGTAAAGAGAGGGACAAATACAAAGTAAGTTTCACTGGACGAAAAAAATGGATTTGCTTCAAATTCGCTCAGCGCAAATACGATGCAAATTTGTGCAAACTGGGAATAAATCTGACCAAAGGTGGTAAATGTCGAATTTGCATACCTTTTACACCAGGGTGTAAATAGGTATGCAAATTCGACATTTACCACCTTTGCTCAGATTTATTCCCCAGTTTGCACAAATTTGCATCGTATTTGCGCTTAGCAAATTTGAAGCAAATCCATTTTTTCGTCCAGTGTTTGATAAATATAAATTATTTTATCCTGCCCCGCATTCAGCATAAAGTTCTTGTATTGCGAACCGTATTCGCCGTATGTTTCTGATTGCTCAGTTTCTTGCAACTGAAGCTTTGGGTAAGAATATATACCCTTGCAGATAGGAGATTGTCCGCCGGCAGTTTCCCTCTATTCGTGCGTCAACTTTGACAAATGTGTTAGCGTTGCATTTTAAGGTTAATTTGACCAGCTATTTGTGCAGCGTGTTCTACGTTCACGATTGACTTCAAACTTACGGATATAAAACTAGAGAGCTCTGAGGCTTATTTGCCGACGTTAGAGAAAAATCTGTCTTAGCGTTCTAAAATTACTGACATTTTCTGTAAAAATGCGGTTTTAAACATATGCCGATATCTCATAGGTTTTTATACCTATAAGAAAACAAATAGCGTTTTCTTAAAGTTCGACCATTCTTTATTAAGGATGGTAAAAATCATGGAAATCGGTTAAATCATTTCTGTCGAAAAACGCGATTGAAAAACATAACCAACGCGCATAAGGCTCGGGCCACCTTCGGAGTAGGAAACTTAAGCCTTGATCAATTAACACGCGCGTTCTAGTCATTTTTACTAATTATTTAAACTACAACGGCACTCGAGACAACAGTGCGGAATACTTTGCCTGAAAAACACTTTAACTTTAGAGAGGAACAACTCTAAAAAGAAAATACGTCAGCTCAGACTTTAATTGACGGCGAATTTGTTCGCAGCGCGAATACGATGTGAAACGTCCTAATTTTAGTTTTATGGGGTACGTGAACACAAGGCAACGATATTCTTTTTCTAATATTTGGTAGAGACTTTTCGAATTTTAACCCAGAATAATTCACCTCCATTTGGCGAATTAACCGAAATGGAATAAGAGCGATAAAGTTTGAAACAACGTGAATGCCCTTTTTTTAGTCCTCTGCGTGGTAATAACATTTTCTGCTTCAAATACTTCCTTAGACAATTTTACATGTTAATATGTTCAGTTTTAGAAAAACCTAACCACTTACCCCATGAGAGGCTGGTGTAGCCTCCAAATATGTATTTCCCGCCGACTCTTACGATTGTTACAGTTGGTCCTTTGTTGTCACAACGGCTATGAAAAGTACTGGCAGCCCAACCGTCTAAGGACGCACGCCAACAACGCTTCCATCGTGAAGATTTGCCCTGAGCAACTGGTTTGAGCCAGTTTCTTAAATACTTTAAGTAGTTTTCATTTTTCCCCAAAATTCTGGAGCGTTTCAGCTCCCCTAGAAAAAAAAAACAGCAACAAAAAACAAGAAGACGTCAACTTAGTGTTTCCTTTGTTTTACATTGCGCATCGTCTACTGCGCATATCACTGACACAGAAGTTGCGCCTGCCGCCTGAAGAGCGATAATGAAGACCGCTTTGTAACGCAATAGGTTTTAATCGCGATAATGATACATCTTCCCGGCTAAAAGGAGTTGATCTTGAAACTCACCCCAGCCCCTTCGTGCAAAATGATCATTTGAAGCCAAATTGCCCCTTTCGTCGTCTAGATGCAGTGAAACGAGCACAGTGAACCCCCATGTAAATGGTGTTATTTACTCTTAATGGCTGCCGTATTTCAAGGAGAAAATCATCTGCATAGTAGAAGTTGTATTGTTTAAATATATTAATGACGTAATAGGCTGCATTTGGAGCCAGAGAAGATTATAAGATGTTGATTTCTTCCACTATTCGCAAGGGCGGGTAATGTAATTTTTAATAAAAAATAATGACCAAAAAGGCAAAAAAAAAAACAAACAAACAAACAAAAACAGGCTCGTGCTTTTGTTATCTGTTATCTTACTGAGCGTATTACTGAGTATATGTTAGTTATTGCTCCAACGAAGTTTCGTGATAATTTGTTCAAATTCACTCTACATACAATTATAATATACAAGGTAGGAGACACGAGATGCCATCTTCGCCGCCATGCTCTCATTCAACACAACTTTTTTTCTATTGTTTACTTGAGACAAACGCGACTCGCCCAAGCAAACTACATGTTCCAGTGCACGCGTCAAAATGAGAAATAAAGCACGTGCATCACGCTTTGTTTAAATAAACAATCAAATTAATTGTGATCGTGTGATGCACATTCCAAGCTGATGTTTTGCTAATCTATAAAATTGGTGTTTGTTGTTAACGTTGTCGCTGTCGCCGTGGTCAATTAAGCTTTTGCGCTTTGAAAATTGGAATTTTCGAGAGTTAAAAAAATTGCAAAATGCAAACATCACCTTTTACATGTTTTGGAAAAAAGTGTTTTGGGAAAGCTTCATTGGTTTCTATATCTGCTGCTATCCTATTACTACGATCCTGGCATGTTTATTTTCTGTCGGAGTTTGAATTTCGTGGAAAAAGTTGTGTTGAATGAGAGCATGGCAGCGAAGATGGCATCTCGTGTCTCCTACCTTGTATATTATAACTGTATATAGAGTGAATCTGAACAAATTATCACGAAACTTCGTTGGAGCAATAAGGACAACAACAACTAACTGCAGGGTAAGTTTCATTGACTTATATTTAGTGTTTCCTACAAATTTTAGGATCGTATTTTTACCCCTTACAAACACTGTAATTTTACTAGAACCGTACTGTGGTACTATCACAGAGCCTGGATTACCTGTGGTCCTCCAACATCTCTTCGTCACTGGATTTGTCAAAAACTCTCGCACTACGGTATTTGACATAAGCAGAATCACATTCACCGTCCTCACATTTAGAGATATTGTCAAAGAGGTTCTCCCTAAGGTCTAAAATGCCTCAAATTCAGAGGAGGCAATGACGAAATTTATTCATCTACTCCCATGAAGGTAATAGACCATTTTACAGTTGTGGACTTAGTACACTAGCCTTCGAGTGAATGTGAGGCTGACGGTGACCTTGTTTTGATACAAACCTCCTTTGCTTTGTTATGGAAACTGTCCCTAAAAAATACTAGTTAGCATAAGAATAACTTGATTTACATAATAAAGCAGGAAGGTTTGTACCAAAACAAGGTCACCGTCAGCCTCGCTTCCATCCATAACTGTAAAATGGCCTATTTGCGACGCCATTTTGTTTGTTTGTACTTAATTGAGCTGCGCCCAAGCAAAATATGCGCGCGCGTGTCACACGACTGAGATGGCATAATTTTTGCTAAAAATAGCACATTTAATTTGGCTATTTCGATGGAACTGATCATATTACTAGAGGAGGTATCCAGTTACGGTCTCTTACCCCGATTATAGCCCTCGGTATGGTTATCAAAACTAAGCTCATCATCAAGTTTAAGTCCCAATAACTTAAGACGATCAACTTGCTCTGACTAGTAGAGTCCCATTTAACTCAGTATATTGACTCTTTTTTCTCTTGTACTAAGCTTTGACTTAAAACTCATTCCACTGATAAATGTTGTAGTCATTTGGTCTTTGAACAATTCAACAGCAGTTTGTTGGCTGTTGCCCAGTCATCAACATTCGAGACCATACGAGATAACGTATCTTCCAGCTCCTCGATACATTAATAGTCTACTGATGCTATTAAATTGAATCGTCAGAAAATATATCTACTTGTGTTTTTAAGTATACAGGCAGGTCAATGTTAAAGATCTCAAACAGAACAGGCCCTAGAGATAGTGATGTTATGGTTCGTGTGGGTGATGAGTGACCCTTAAATGTACCTTGCTGCTTACAATCGTTAAGATAACATCCGAGCGAGGCTAAGGCACTGGGATGCAGCCTATACACTTCAAGTATACTAAGGAGAATGGTCGACCATATCAAATACTGTAATGTTGCCTGGTCCTCCACCTATTGCTCTAGCCTAAACTGTATTTACCTTTTGCGAAAGCGCATGGTGCGGCTAATATCAAAAGGTCACTATCTAGCAAATGCGTCCCATTATTTAGCAAACTTAAAGTCCTTGACATATATAGCATTATCTCTTTTTTGTGTTGCTACATTTATGTATTCCTAGCTATCACCATAATCATCTGCTTACTATTTAAAAAGAGGTTACGAAAGCTACTAACCAGGTTCACCATTACGGAACTCGACTAGCCTCTCAGTATGAACCTCATTTTGTAGAACTAATATTAAAAAGTTCAGTATCCTTTATCGAGGACGAACAATCTGGAATTTTTGCCAATTACACTAACCAGCTCCTCTTCCATATTTGTTTTTAAAAAAAATCTGAAAAATAATGTCATTGATAGTCGTTTTGTTGCTTAGTTTTATGTTTTCTGTACACTTTGCAATCAAGTAAGCCTTTGTAATCAAGCCTATTAATATAAGCTCCCAGCTTCTTTAGGCTTCCTTGTCACATCAACTTTTATTTGAATTAACACCTTTTGTAACGTTTATTTTTATGTTATGTGAGTGACAAAAAATAATAATAATAAATGAACAAATAATAAAAAAATGATTTTTTGTAGTCACTGTTACTATTCCATTGACTCGATCACTGTCCAAATTAAATGAGATGGGTTAATTCGATGAGCAAGCGCAGTCTATGTACTGATCATGAGGTTTTTATTGGACCCTGATTGACAGGTATAAATAAATAAGGTTGTTGTTGGACAGATAAATTTGATAAGCAACGGTGCACATGCCTTTCCATCACCTTGGAGAGCACTGGCATTATGGATATAGGGCAGCAGTTGTTAACATCACTTAGTTCACAAACCTTATGCAGTGCAGTCACCCTGCAGGCCGTTAATTATTGCGATGGAAATGGCTGTGTTGCGAATGAACGATAATGATAAGCCTGGCTTTCGAGGGTCTTATTACAGTCCGATTTTAAGAAGTCTAACGCTAAGCCCGTCGACACCAGTCGTTTTATTTGATGATGTATTTGCCAAATATGTGGCAAACTTTTAAGGTTTAATTGGTGGTATGGAAAACACTGTGTTTTCAAATGTTAGTCGATTTCTGACACACTGAACCAGTTTATGAAAAATCAAAGTCAAAATCATTTATAGCGCGAAGGGACGACTTCACTTTGTCAGCAATTGTGTTAAAATGAAAGTTAAAATAGTCAGCAAGTTCACTGTGTCCGTGTTCAGTACTTTTTTGTAGAGGAGTCCAGTAGATATTCAGGCTGGCGTGATGCTTTATCTGCTCCAAGACATTTTTGCATCAATTTCCGTCGTAAGAGACAGAATCCATTAGGAAATTGAGAGAATTTTCAGCCTGACTAAAACTTTGTACCAGAGCAATTTCAAACGTTGGCTAAGATATATCAGTCGCCTCTAGTAGAGCAGTGACCGTAGAATGGAAAGAGAGAAATCCGGGTTGACTTTTTGACATAATGTTATTGCGAGATGTAAGTTCGTTTATCGTTGCCAGGTGCGTCGAGAGTCATTTTTGTGTTCAGTAAATGATTGTTTGTAATACTCGGATTCCTTTGCGATCTTGACGTTACTATTAGTTTTGTTGCGAAGTCATTTAAATTCACCCCAATCCTGTGGGTTCTTTGAACGTATAATTGCTTTCAACTTCATGCATGATGTCTCGTTCATGCATACGTTTTTTCAACTCTGAAGTAATCCATTTTCTTTGGCACTTCTTAATAAGAACCCAACATTGACCCTCAACTCCCAGATCCTCAAGTTAAAAAGAATTGTCATTGATCTGATGACAAAGGGAGGACTCTGTAAAAAGTATGTTAACATAAAATAGCAGTCTTTATCTCTGGAGTTGGATACGTGTGACTCTTTGGAAACGTTCCGCCATGTTGTAATATATCCGACCGTTGCACAGCTAAACAGGTGAAAAATCGGCCTGCGAAAACAGCCGAGCAGCGAGAAGAAACGACTGTTTTCGCATAGCTGCTAGAATAGAAAGAATACAGACTAATCTTTTCTCTACGAGAACAGCGGGCTTTGAAACCATTTTGGAAAATAATGGGAAGTTGCGCTCGACCTTTTTTTTTTTTTAAAAAAGACTTCTTTAATATCGGCTACAAACAATCTTGTGAATCAAGTTAAATTTTGTTTAACACTTAAGAATAAAAAGAAGCGAAAAATCATACCAGAGTCGCATTGAAAGCCATCTCCATAGTAGCCTTGATCACAGGAGCAAGTGAATAAGCCACGATAATTTGTGCAGCTTGCGAGCTGGTGGCAGTAGTAGTGGTCCCTACTGCACTCATTAAGATCTGTCGATATAAAAATACTGATCATACTAACCTCTTTAAATATCGTACTCTATCTTGAAAGCATCCATGCTTTTTTTTTGAGAAAATAAAGGAGAAACAAGCTCATTCATTTTCTTGCTGATAGCTTATTATTTCC